GCAGGAGAATCACTTGAAACTGGGGGGAACAGACGTTGCAGTGAGCCGAGATCACACCATTGCACTCCAGCCTGGGCAACAAGAACAAAACTTTGTTTCTAAAAATAAAAAATTAAAAAGATAAAGTCTATTTTCCAAAAACATACCTAGAATTATATATTTTTCACAAGTGCCAAAGTTCAGAAAGGTGTTATGATTATCTTCCCATTATTTTTAAAAAGCAAATGTTAAAACAAAAGGAAAAAAAGGGATTTATTCATTCGTCCAATAAATATTTACTAAACTCCTACACTGAGTCAGGCATTATTTCCAGTACAGTTGGTAGACAGTCCTCACGCGGCTGCCTCTTGAAAGTGCACACCACGATCAATGCCAACATATCCAACAGCTGAATGTACATTATATGCCTGGCATGGTTCTAAAAATCACAGGTAAAAAAAATTACATACAGGTAAAAAAAATCAACACAGGTGGCTTCTTACTATGCTAACCAATACGCATCACTCACGTTTCGCTGTTCTCTTCCTTGTATCTACTTCATTTCTCATTAGCACCAGAGCAAATTAATAAAGATGACAGAGAGGATACTAGGAGACAGCAAAACCAGGTTCTGTCACTGAATAATTTGTTAGCTGCAAAGAGTAGAATAATTATGAGGCAGGCTTAACTTTCCAGTGGATTTATTCATACTTCACACTAATGAGCAAGCTAATAAAAAGCTGAACTAACACTTCAGTAACCTGTCACTTCCCTCAATAAGTAGGCAAGGAAAAAAATCCAAATGTAAGCAACTCTTGCTTTGCCGTTTCTCCCCCAACCAGCCACAACTTCAACAAGTCAGTGAACATATTTACCTTACTAACACTGCCTTTTTAACAAGTCTTGAGTAAATGTATTCTGGTTAATCTTACATAAAAACATTAATTTTTTCTTTTGACGCTGATGTTACAGGCCAGAGGTAAAACCCACTACATAAGTTTCCACATAGCTATCTTTCAATGTATGCAATGTGACTTACAATAGATTCAGGCTGGTGTCCTGCACACAGTAGTTGTTCAATAAAAATTTTGAAAATTCATTAAAAGGCAATGTTATAAAGAGCTGTAAACTATTTTACTGTAACCTAATCACTTCAAAATGGCTATTTAAGCCTGGGAGAGGTGCCTCACGCCTGTAATCCCAGCACTTTGGGATGCCAAGGTGGGCAGATCACCTGAGGTCAGGATTTTGAGACCACCCTGGTCAACCTGATAAAAACCTATCTCTACTAAAAATAAAAAAAAAGTAGCCAGGCATGGTGGCGCACAGCTGTAGTCCCAGCTACTTGGGAGGCTGAGGCAGGAGAATCGCTAGAACCCAGGAGGTGGAAGTTGCAGTGAGATCACGCCAGCCTGGGCAACAAGAGCAAAAGTCTATCTCAAAAAAATAAAAAAAAGAAGAAGAACAAGAACAAGAAAGTTTATTTCTATGGAGGGGTTAAAAAAAAAAGTGAAAAAGAAAGAGGAAGAGAAAGGTTGTACTCCCTCTACAAAGCAGGATGTGGCTTAGGAGTAGGCCTTTAATGTAAAATGCACATTAGAAACCTTTAGCTTGTAAAAGTCTACGTTGCCGTTAACCTGAAGTCCTAAAAGGTATGTAAAATCTAATAGTATTTGTGAAGGTCCCTGAAAGCTGCAACCACCTGTTACAAACAACTCATGGCCACCCAAACCATAGCTCTGTCTTTCTCCATCTAGAAGAAGAATTCTGCCAAGTTCGGCTTTAGCGCCCCATCATTATCTCATTATACATGTGCATGATTCCAAAGCCACCATTCAAGGAAAACCCTTAATCACTGCCCTCCGCTGGGCTACCCATGCACCGCACATCACCAAGTCTCTGACCACTGGAGAAACTGGGCTTACTTTTCATAATCTTTCATTATTCTAGTTTTTTTCATCTTAAAAGCTACTAGGCCTTATGCATCTTTGCATTTCACCAGAAAACTTCAATTTTGCATTTCTCTTAGGAGTGCAATCATGTGTTCATTCCTTTCCCTATATTCAACTATAAGCTACTCAAAGGCAAATGCTGGTACTCATGTCTTTTTTCAAGGCCAGGCATGGTGGCTCATGCCTGTAATCCCAGCACTTTGGGAGGCTGAGGCAAGTGGATCACCTGAGGTCAGGAATTTGAGACTAGCCTGGCCAATATGGCAAAACCCTGTCTCTACTAAATACACAAAAAAATTAGCCAGACATGGTGGTGGGCACCTATAGTTCCAGTTACTTGGGAGGCTGAGGCAGGAGAATCACTTGAACCCAGGATGCAGAAGCTGCAGTGAGCCAAGATAGTGCCACTGCACACCAGCCTGAGCGACAGAGTGAGACTCCATCTCAAAAAAAAAAGTCTTTCAGCCGGACGCGGTGGCTCACGCCTGTAATCCCAGCACTTTGGGAGGCTGAGGCGGGTGGATCACGAGGTCAAGAGATCGAGACCATCCTGGTCAACATGGTGAAACCCCGTCTCTACTAAAAATACAAAAATTAGCTGGGCATGGTGGTGCGTGCCTGTAATCCCAGCTACTGAGGAGGCTGAGGCAGGAGAATTGCCTGAACCCAGGAGGCAGAGGTTGCGGTAAGCCGAGATTGCGCCATTGCACTCCAGCCTGGGTAACAAGAGAAAAACTCCGTCTCAAAAAAAAAAAAAAAAAAGTATTTTAAAACTCCTCATTGCCATACACTTGCACATACAGAACTGTTAACTGATTCACTCTTCCTCATAAAATTATCAAGTGAAAAAATTACAAATAGTTCACACTCTTCTTCTTTAAAAATAATTTCCAATTTTTATTGTAGGAAATTTCAAATATATATAGTACAAAGAATAGTGTAATGCACCCTTCTGTACCAAGCATCTGGCTTCAGTAACGGCCAACTCTGCTTCACGATCTCCCATCTACTAACAACCCAAATTACTGTGAAGCAAATCTAAAATTTCGTATCATTTCTATTTGTATATATCCCAGTTCCCATTTATTTTCTTTTTGCTTTTTTTAAAGAGCTGGCCTCTGGAGATATTGCCCAAGCTGTTCTTGAACTCCTGGGCTCAAGTGATTCTCCCGACTTGGCCTCCCAAGGTGCTGGGATTTCAGGCCTGAGCCACTGTGTCCCGCCTCTCTCATTTATTTTCAACCACTCCTAACCCTGCCTTCCTTCCCACTCTTCCACCCTCAAAAAGAAATGTACAGAATAATGCAGGCAATTGCTGCTGTTTTAGCAGTTTTGCTCATAGCCACTCCCTCTCTTTGAGATTATCTTCTGTCCCATTCACCAACATCACGGAATATCGTGTTCCGTCCTTATTTCACTCAGAAATATGTTGTACCCTTTCCCTCCTTAATTTCATTCTCCTGTTTGAACAAGTGAAAAAAAAAATTGTGCGACAATTTCTACTGTCTTGATAAAGATTACTTCTAATTTGCTTCCCCACCCCAGATAAGCTAAAGACAGCTAAAGGGAGTGGAAGGATTAGAAGAGGAGAGAAACTTCAATACAGCACTCGAAGTGGTAGATTTTTGCCTAAACCGGCGTGTGCAAATATTTGAAACTATGTTATTTTCAAAATGATACTTGTAAACATCAGCGGAAATTCTGTCATGAATCCCTTTTGGGCAGAAGATGTTTATAAAAGGAATTATCTTAATTTAAAGGAAGGAGCTATTGCCCTCAGGATTTTGGTAATAACAACCGTAGCTGCTTCAGAACCTAACAAATGGTTATGTAAAAACACTTAAAGCAAACGAGCGCGCGCGCGCGCGCGCTCACACACACACACACACACACACACACAATTAAGGGAGGATGCACTCTGTTTCCGTAATTGCTCTAACCTTGTTTTATTTTGACATGAGATTTCTTGACCTCATCTCGACAGTAACACCACCCTACACTTTCTCTTCCACACCCTTTGCAAATAGAATTCCAAAAGGTAGTGAGGCACTTCCCAGAGTTCGTCTGGGAAATGGCTCATCTCGAGGGCATTTCGGTGCAGTAAGGGAGATTTCGTCTGCTCCCTCCTGGGCCGCCTCGCTGCCCGTCCCCTGCCCAGTGATTTCCCCAGGAATCCTTGGAGGGCAGGGAAAGAGCTCCATCCACAGCCGGCCCCCTGGTCGCCGCCCTGGCAACCTCTGCACGCCCTCAGCCCCAAGGGCTGCCCGTTTACCGTGCGCACCCCCACGACCAAGCATCTCCGCGAAGTGCCCCTCGCTGCCAACCTTCCCCATTGGAAACTCTTTCCTCCGAGCAACCGTTAAAGATCACTGACCCCGAGAACGCCTCTCCCTTAAGATCTCTCCCCAACTCCCACTACTTTCCCCTCCGGATCAGATGTCGCAGTGCCCACATCCCACTCAGGATCCGAGCTACTCCGAGAGAACAAGTGCGCGCGGAGTCGCCACCGGCCAGAAGTCCTCGCCTCCAGAGCCAAGACCACACTCTCGCCCCGGCACCCCAAAACCTGAACCCCGGAGCCCGCCCAGGCCGCCCCGCCCCCGGGGGAGCGCGCGGTCCGCCAGCGCCTCCGCGGAGCCAGGACAGAACTCGCGGCCCGGGCGCCCAGAGACCCAACACAGCGCCGCGCCGCCCGGGCCTCCACGCCCCCACGCCCGGTCCCGGCCCTCCCCGGGCATCCGCGGCTCGGCCTGGGGGATTAGGGCTCTGCCCTACACACACCGCCCGCCCCGGGACGCCGGGGACAGGGAGGCCCGCCCGCGCCGCTCCTCAGGCCGCCGGGGACCCGCACCAACTCCCCTCGCCTCCGAAGAACGAACCGGCCCGCACCTCCCGCTCGGGCCAAGGCCGACAAGGGGCACGGGGACCCCGCCTCTTCCCCAGGCCGCGGAGACCCAAACCAGCGCGTCCTCGCCTCCGCCCGGCAGCGCGGTCCGCGCCCCCTCCCCAGGCCGCAGGGAAATGCAGCGCGCGCCCCGCATCTGCCCGCGGGCCCAGCCCCTCACTTACCCAGAGCTCGGTGCCCCAGCTCATGGTGCAGGGGCCGCGAAGGGGCGCTCCGCGCGGCGGGCGCGGCTCTCCGGTCCCCTTCCCCGGCGATCCCCTTGCCCCCCGAGATCCCCGCGACCGCGGAAAGCCCGGAGCCCGCGCGGCCTCCTCTGGCTCGCAGCTCCTTGCCCGGGGTCTCCTCGGCGACTCCTCCTCCCCGCCGCGCCACAGCAAAATGGCCCGAGGAAGCAGCAGCCGCGGCCGCCGCAGCGCCCGCCCTACACCCTAGAGCGGGGGAGGGGCGAGAGAGGAGGGGCGCAGGGGCGGGGCGCGGGGGCGGGGCCAGCCTGACAGCTCGCGCACGCGCGCCCACCCCGTCCCGGTCCCCTCCCCCGGGCTCCCCAGCCGGGTCCGCGTCGCTCCGGGGTGCGGAAGGAACCGGAGGGAGGCGTGAGGCACGGCGGGACCCGGATCCCGAGGACTCCCCCTGTCAATCTCCTAATGACTTCTTAGTGACCACTCTGCTCGCAGGACTAGCGCTTGCCTTGGAACGCGGCCGGCCCGGGGGATCACCTTTGCTCCGCCGCGGTCTGAGATCGCTCCCCTGCGCGCAGCGCCGCTCGGGATTTAAGGACAATACTTTCCCCTGGCAGCCATGCGCGTCGTGCAGAATCAGCCCGGAGGCTCTTTTCCCACCGCCCGTGGGAGGCCTGAGAGCCCGGTAGGCTGGAACGGTGGGAGTGGGGCCCGGTACGTGGTGTCTGCGCGCTGTGTAGATAGGGACATCGAGGCCAGCATCAACGACCTCGAGTGGCTGGGGAAAGAATCTAGGGGCGTGCACCCGGTGATTTCCAATCTCTCAAACCAGTAATTTCCAACTTATTCAGCCAAGAAACTCTCAGATGTGAAATCACGTTACCGCCTAGTGGGTAAAAGCAAAGGCGTTGGGTACACAGATAACTCTTGGTTCAAATCCAGCCTCCGGCATGTGTCCGCCAGGTGGAAGCGGACTATGTCTCCACCGCTGGAAGCGCAGAGCGCAGTCCGCCTAATGGAGGCAATAACGCGTCCATCTCACCGTGCGTCCCTGAGGATCAGGGAGGTGAGCCGAGGCCTAGGGTTGGTAAACCCAGCGCTCATTTTATCAGTAGACGAACTCCTTCTCTATCTATTACAGAGGCCTGTGCAAATGTTCCTGACAAGCTATGGAGATTGTTTAGAGTTCCAACTCCTCTGAATCACTAGGCCTTTCCCCACACAGCTTATCTTTCTCCCTTGGTTAATGCTATTACTGGATCCTTTTCTGAATAACCATGCGACTCTCAACATGGGGCCCAAGTTTATTTTACAATGGTGCATTTCTCCAATCCCACCCCGCCATTTTCAACCTGCTTATCATTCTCCATTAAAAGCTGGAGCTAAGCCAGGTCTGGTGGCTCCCACCTGTAATCCCAGCACTTCGGGAGGCCCAGGCAGGAGGATGGCTGTATCCCAGGAATTTTGAGAGCAGCCTGGGCAACATTGCAAGACCCTGTCTCTACAAAAAATTTTTAAAAAAACTAGCTGGGCATGGTAGCATGCACGTGTGGTCCCAGCTAATCAGGAGGCTGGGACAGGAAGATTGCTTGAGCCCAGGAGGCTGAAGCTGCAGCGATCTATGATCATGACATTGCCCTCCAGCTGGAGCAACACAGCAAGACCCTGTCTCAAAAATATTAGCAATAATGAATTAAGGCCGGGTGCGGTGGCTCACGCCTATAATCCCAGCACTTTGGGAAGCTAAAGTGAGTGGATTACCTGAAGTCAGGAGTTTGAGACCAGTCTGACCAACATGGCGAAACCTCATCTCTACTAAAATTACAAAAATTAGCCAGGCATGTTGATGGGTGCCTGTATCCCAACTATTCAGGAGGCTAAGGCAGGAGAATTGCTTGAACTGGGGAAGCGGAGGTTACAGTGAGCAGAGATCACACCACTATACTCCAGGCTCGGTGACAGAATGAGACTGTCTCAAAAAATAAAAATAAATAAATAATAATGAGTTAAGAGTTAGAGAAAAAAAAAAACACTCTTGCAGATAAACCTCCAAGTCTGCTTCCTTTGTTGGGCAGTTACAATAAATTTAAATTGTCAAAACTGCTTTTGGTCTGCCTTTTTTCAGTTACAACCCTCCCTTCCTGCCCACTCCCATTTTTGTGTCTGTATAAATATTTTGCTTTCAGTTACCAGGTCTGAGTTCTCTTTCCTCCAGAGACTGCTAGGTATATAACAATCAGAACAACCAGCTATGCATCTCCTAAGACAGATTAATAGCCAGAGTGAGTTGGAGGGGGAAATTCAAACAATGCTGCACAGTTTAGTCTGCTAAAATTTGGAAATAATACATGCAATGCAGGTTTATCTAACAAGACTGCCTCAGTAATCACCTTCCTGCCAAGGCTTGACTTTTCAAGCAAACACAGTGATCTAATCTTGACCGAGTTCTTGGAGACTTCTCAAAAACAGTGACCACTTGTGAAAATACTCTAATCAAAAAGTAAAACAACCTGCTGCTTTAAAGAGAAAGAGGAAGAGGAAGGGACAGCAGAAGAAAAAAAGAGACCACATGAAGATGAAACTTTCTAAGATGAGTAAGCAGGAAACTGTTAGTTATATGAACTCATTAAAAGCTGCTGCAGAGCTCTATGGAAGTGAGTTATACCACACTGGGCTGGGCGCCTGTAATCCCAGCACTTTGGGAGGCTGAGGCAGAAGAATCCCTTGAACCTGGGAGGTGGAGGTTGCAGTGAGCCAAGATTGTACCACTGTACTCCAGGCTGGGCAACACAGTGAGACTCTGTCTCAAAAAAAAAAAAATTATATACCATACTGCAAATATTTTAACTTCATTAAGCTTTGGCAGTAACTGGGAAATGCTTGAAAGTGTCAGAATCTTAAAAAAATAAAGGAGAAGGACACTAATGATCTTGAAGCAATGAGAACAGGGTTTGGGATAAAATGAATAAGCCAGCAGAAAAAAGGATAAAATACAGCACAGCATGTTTTAGGAAGAACTAAATCCATTTGAGTTTCCCTTCAGAGTAGGAGGAAGTGATTCTAAGACAAGGAACTATCCCTACTAACAAACTACTGTGACCTGACCTACTGAGAAATCAGTTTTCAACAGGGGTATTCTAAACTCTATGTAAATGCTGGTATTATCTAGGGGGCGAGTCGGGGTTACATACACTGGTTTCACCTCTCACTAAAATCTAGAGAACACTGATTTACAAAATTATGATCTTGGTGTGATATTACGAAGTACGTATTTGGTCTTTAACCTTGTTTCCTGAAGTATAGCTCCTAAAATCCTTAAAAACCCCCAACGTGATGTCTTTTTATATACTAACAAGATGACTGACAGCTGACAGTCCCTATTTTTTTTTTTTTTTTGAGGGGTTTCGCCCTTGTTACTCAGGCTGGAGTGCATTGGTGCGATCTCGGCTCACCGCAACCTCTACCTCCTGGGTTCAGGCAATTCTCCTGCCTCAGCCTCCTCAGTAGCTGGGATTACAGGCACGCGCTACCATGCCCAGCTAATTTTTTGTATTTTTAGTAGAGACGGGGTTTCACCATGTTGACCAGGATGGTCTTGATCTCTTGACCTCGTGATCCACCAGCCTCGGCCTCCCAAAGTGCTGGGATTACAGGCGTGAGCCACCGCGCCCGGCCCAGTCCCCAAGTATTAATAGCTTCAAGATGGGGCTGGTCACCAGAAGGACCAAGACAAGATTAGAAGCTTGGGACCTTTATCTGTACCCACACTGTTGCCCCAACCTCCAGGGATCGGGGAGAGGTGCTAAAAGTTAAGTTGCTCAGCAATGGTCAACAGTTTAATCAATTATGACTACATAAAATAAAGCTTCTATTAAAACTCCAAAAAACAAAGTTCTGAGAACGTCCAGATAGCTAAACACGTGAAAGTTCCCAGAGGGTGGCATGTCGCGAGGGCATCAAAGCTGCAGTCTCCCTCCCCATACCTCACTCCACAGATCTTTTCAGCTATATCCTTTATAATCGACATGCTTCCCTAGGTTCCGTGAGGCACTCTTTAACAAATTAATCAAACCCAAAATGGAGGACTTGGGATTTCTGATTTATAACCAGTTGGTTAAAAAGACAGTTCATATAACCTAAGACTTAAAACTGACACCTACTGGGGTAGGGGCAGTCTGGAGGACAAGTCCTCAACCAGTGATATCTGACACTGTCTCCAAGTAGATAGTGTCAAAGTAAAACTAAATTAGGAGCCCAGCATGGTGGTGCATGCCTGTAGTCCCAGCTATAGGGAGGCTGAGGCAGAAGTTCAAGGTTGCAGTAGGCCATGATCGTACCATTACATTATGGCCAGGGTGACAAAGCAAGACCCTGTCTCTAAAAATAAAAATTAAAAAACACTAAAGGATGCTCAGCTCATGTCCACTACAAAATTAATTACTTGCTTGGTGGTGGGAAGAAATCCCAACACATTCTGTCACAAAAGTCTTCTATGTTAATTATTAAGTAAAAAACAAAACAAAACCCTGTAACTTTATGTTTTTTTCCTACGCTGAGTGTGGGACTCAAACATGTTCCATTGAATAATCTGATCACGCGGACAATATTAGCAATGAAATAAGGTATCTGGACAAACAGAACAGAGATAGACTCTCTATAGGTTGCTGTGTAGTTAGAGGTAAACAACTGTATTAGGGCTTTTTGGCAATTCTAACCCTGCTTGCAACTAAAAAACATCTAATTCAGGCACTTAGATATACAGATATTTATATAGCTGTAGATAGATATGAGATTTTTAAAGCAGATAGGGTTTTGAAACTGTTAAATTGAGATCCGGTGTTCCACTACTTATTAGTTGTGTGGCCTTCTGCAAGTTACTTAACAGCCTCTGAGCTTCAGTTTACTCATTCAGAACACAGGGACTTGGCCGGGTGCAATAGCTCCCGCTTATAATCCCAGCACTTTAGAAGGCTGAGGCAGGTGGATCGCTTGAGGCCAGGAGTTTGAGAACAGCCTGGGCAACATGGCAAAAACCCATATCTACTAAAAATACAAAAAAATTAGCTGGGCCTGGTGGTGTGCGCCTGTAATCCCAGCTACTTGGGAGGCTGAGGCAGGAGATTCACTTGAACCTGGGAGATGGAGGTTGCAGTGAGCCAAGACTGCACCACTGCACTCCAGCCTGGGCAGCAGAGTGAAACTCTGTCAAAAAATAAAAAGAACAGTGCATGTGGCTTATGCCTGTAA